AAGGACACAGTCAGCAAGACAAAACGGCAGCCCACCGACTGGAAAAAGATATTCACCAAGCCCACATCTGACAGAGGGCTGATCTCCAAAATATACAAAGAACTCAAGAAGCTAGTCTCCAAAACACCAAATGATCCAATTAAAAAGTGGGGTACAGAACTAAACAGACAATTCTCAATGGAGGAATCTAAAATGGCTGAAAGACACCTAAGAAAGTGTTCAACATCCTTAGCCATCAGGGAAATGCAAATCAAAACAACTCTGAGATACCATCTTACTCCTGTCAGAATGGCCAAAATCAAAAACACCAACGACAGTTCATGCAGGAGAGGATGTGGAGAAAAGGGAACACTTCTCCACTGCTGGTGGGACTGCTAACTTGTACAGCCACTTTGGAAATCAGTATGGTGACTCCACAAAAAATGGGAATCAGTCTACCACAAGATCCAGCATTTCCACTCTTAGGCATATACCCAAAAGAAGAACATTCATACAAGGACATATGTTCAATGATGTTCATCGCAGCACTATTTGTAATAGTCCGAAACTGGAAGCAACCTAGATGTCCCTCAACTGAAGAATGGATAGAGAAAATGTGGTACATTTACACAATGGAGCACTATGCAGCAGAAAAAAAAATGGAATCTTGAAATTTGCAGGAAAATGGATGGATCTAGAAGAAACCATTCTGAGCGAGGTAACCCAATTGCAAACAGACAAACATGATATGGACTCACTCATATGTGGACTTAAGACATAGAGTAAGGATTACCAGCCTACAATCCACACTGCCAAAGAAGCTAATAAACAAGGAGGTCCCTAAGAAGGACATCCATGTTCCCATGGAGAAGGGGAGAGGTTCAAGATCTGCTGAGCAAATTGGGAGCACAGGAAGAGGGGGGAGAGAGCTAGGAGAATGGGAAGGGGAGAAGAAGAAGGATGCCAAGGACATGAGGGAGCAGAAAGTTTGAGTCAGGGGAAGAATACACGATAACAAGAATGGAGATATCATAATAGAGGGAGACATTTTTGGTTTACAGAGAAATCAGGCATTAGGGAAATGTCTGGAGATCTACAAAGATGACACCAGCTAACTATCTCAGCAACAGAGGAGAGACTACCTTAAATGCCCTCCCCTGATTATGAGATTGATGACTGCCTTATATGCCTTCATCCAGCAGCTGGTGGAAGTAGAAGCAGACACCCATAACTAATCACCAATCTGAACTGCAACCCTGATGCAGAGAACGACCAGTGATGAGCACAGAGGTCCAGACCATGCTGGTGAAACACACAGAAACAGCTGACCTGAACATCTGGGAACTCTTGCTCCCCAGTCTGATAGCTGGAATATCAGCATGGGACTGATCCAGACCCTAGGAACATGGGTTTCTGTGAGGAAACCTCAGAAATCTATGGGACTTCCTGTAGAAGCCCAGTATTTATCCCTAGCATAGTTGTGGACTTTGGGAGCCGATTCCACATACAGGAATACTCCCTGAGCCAAGACACATGGGGGTGGGCCTAGGCCCTATCCCAAAGGATATGAAAGACTCTAATGACACCCTATGGAAGGCCTCACCATCCAGGGGGAGCAGAAAAGATATGTGGCATATAAGGTTTTAGTTGGGGGGGGCAGGTTTCTAATTCAAATAAAAAAGTTGGAAAAAAAGAACAGAGTAGATAACAATAATGCAGATTATTAAATGAGGCTTGGCCCAGGATCGATGTTGCAGTGTTTACTCAAGATTTCATGCGAATTATTTTACTGTAATTTCTCTATAAATCTTCAATGTCATTCTGTGCATGACATGATGGGAGAGAACAATAACTTCTCACTGAGGAAATGATGCAGACACTAGATCAAATCCAATGGAATCTGGAATAGATAAGCAAGCCAGGGCAGAGAGCCTTTATTGTTACCAGAAAAAAAGAAAAAAGGTTAAGATAAAATCCAAATGCTATTTCAGATAAGGAAAACGGGAAGGACTTAGTCATAGTGAGGCAATGCTGTTGCTTCATTTGTTACACTCTCAGAAGACAAGGTCATCAGGAGTCACAGACAATTCCAGGAAACTCTTGGCAGCTTGCACTAGCATGGGGATGGAGGAGTCTGTGAAGAAGGAAAACATGAGTCAGAACTGTACTACACGGGAAGAGAGGGAGGCTTTTTCATGAGCCTTCCTCAATTATTTCTTTCATCCCCTTCAGACCTGATTCAGCTTCCTGCAGTACCCTGGATTTGCCCCATTTCTTGTTCTGAGTCTTCTTTAGTCTTTCTGTCCACAGGAACAAAGCAATAACGATACAATAAACATCCATGAGTATGGCTACATGTCTAGGGTTAGTCTTACTGAGCTAATCATCCACTTCTGTGTTACTTCCCTCTGATATCAGCTTGTCCCAACTACCAACTGCATATTTTACCTAATCCTGAAGGGTAAGTTATGGCTGACAGGACAGACAATGCTCTGAGATACCATGGTAGGGGCAACTATAGGGACTCTGTAGCACTCACACTCTGGTACACTTACAAGCATAGCTCTGAAACAAACCTGGAAGGGGGTGAGTGCTCCTACCTGCATGGTCATGGAGCCAGGCCACTGCCTTCCTTTCCAGAAGTTCCCCCAGCCACTTCAAGTCTTTGCCATTGGCATGCAGCCAGAGCACAGCCAGCACTGTGGCCCAGACTGAGGGGTCCTGATCCTGCAATACAGACAGAAACTTCTATGATGCTCCAGGCAGGGCAGGAAGCCACTCTAGAGAAAGCAGAGAGGTTTATTAAATCCTTCCTTGTCATTCCCTAATCTGCTGCTACATGGCATTCCCTGGACCATCCTTACCATACACTGACAGAGCCTCAAGAAAACATTCCATCACCACTTAGAAAAGGACTTATGTTGTAAATCCAATGTAAACAGCATCATAGTTTGTAAGACACCCCAAACACCCAGTACATGAACAATTAGGCTATATAAAGAGACAAAACTGCAAATTTGACTTCTTTTTCCCCCTTTTTTCATTTTTATTTATTTTTCTTATTTTAATTAGAAAGAAAATTATTTTACATGTCAATCCCAGTTCCCTTTCCCTCCCCCTCACCTGCCCCCCCAACTAGCACCCTACCTATTCCATACCCTTTCTGCTCCCAAGGGAGGGTGAAGCCTTCCATAAGTGGTCTTCAAAGTCTGTCTTATTCTTTGGGAAACGGTCTAGGGCAACCCCCTTGTGTGTAGGCTCAGGGAGTATCCCTCCATGTGGGATGGGCTCCCAAAGTACATTCCTATGCTAGGAATAAGTACTCATCCACTACAAGAGGTCCAATAGATTTTCAATGTCTCCTCACTGACACCCACATTCAGGGTGTTTGGGTCAGTCCCATGATGTTTTCTCCAGCTATCAGACTAGAGACCAAGAGCTCTCTCTGTTCTTTTAATGTATTGTGTTAATTAATTCTTTTTTGTATCCTCTTAGGCCAAAAAACAACCCTCCCCCCACAAAATCAAAAATAAACATCACAAGAAATTCCCCTAACAAAGAATTAAAAGTACATTTCAAACCAAGAATTCAAGTAATACAAAAGGTAAAATAAATGTTTAAATTAGTTATTTAGTAATGGTGATTATTGGAATGTAGGCCCAATATTAGAAGTCACTTATATTTCTGGGAGGGATGCTTATGTCAAGGTATTAAGAATCCAAAAGCACATTGCTCAGGACTAGATGCAAAGCCCATTCTGATTTTTAAAATGTAGCTCTTGAGTGGTCTCAGCTTAGAATAGATGACTTATGAAAATCTATAATCATAGCCCAAGAATGAAGCCCTTCCTCGGGTGTCTTGGTTCAGACCTTTTGCTTCACATTGCTTGTGGGCACATGACACCTCTGTGTTTAATGTGCAACTGATTTCAATTCAGTTTGCATGTTTTCTACTCATACAACTGAGGGTTAAGAAATAAAAGCAATTTTTTGATTTCCATTTGTGTTTTTTGTTTTTTTGGTCAATGCTATTGTATTTCATGAAAACTTAAAAATCATGATCAGAGATTTTCTGGTCTCTTGATTCTTCTATTTATCATTTTTTGTTTCTGTTTTATCATTTACAAATGGATAAATGTTAATCTGTATCTTCATTATTATCAAAAAGTAAACATTTAGAGCTTAGTGGCTTCAAAATTATTTTTCCATTTTGACATCAATTTCTTATTTCAAAGTATTATTTATAAGTAATCTATATCTAGTCAGAGTATCTATCATTTTAAATTTTGAAATTTCCAAAGGAAATTCATATATCAACATGTGATATTTATTCAACTTCCCTTTACATATTTACTAGATTCAATTCATGACCTCTTATATTTTAGGGCTGTGTTCTGCTGGTGAACAATGTCTTTAGCTAGTACTAAACCATAATTTTAAAAAATGATAAAAAGAAATTATCATTTTGTCAAGGAGCCATTGTGAAACAATATTGATAAAATATTTCCATAGTTTCACCCTATTTAAGTCAGTTTGCATTTTACATCATGTATAACTCTGTGAACTAAAAATTTACATCTCATTTGCATTCACTGCAATTCATAGGCTTAATAGCCAATCATGACTAGAAGATATAGTACAAGTAGTATAACTATAGAATATGTGAGGTGAATTTATTTATATCTCCCATTTTAATATCTGAGAACTGTATTTCTTCTTCATGATTTGGCATATGATTTTTTAAAAAATATTATTAGACGATCCAGAAGGTAAATTCAAATTCTGGATAAGGTTTATTCTTTATCATATTTGAGAACATTAAAATAGCAATACTGGGGCTGTTATTGGAGTCTCTGCAGACACAGTATCCTAGCATTCAATCTAGTTCTGCACTGGCAGAGTATTCATATTCTTAATGTTTGATATCTTCATCTATGCATAGCTACATAAATAGAACCTGACATAATTGCTTGAATTGAGGAAAAGAAAGTATATTAATATTAAGTGCTTTAAAAATTATCTTGTACAGCATGAAGATAAAAAAGTGTGTTTCAAATATATTTCAGGGAATAGTATTAACAAAGAAGAACACTTATTTTTCCATTGATGTCCATCTGTCTGACCATGCACTACAGCAACTAAGCTACTAATTCCATGATCCTCATGCTCAGGCCTAAGTTGAAATAATATCATCTACTATAAATTACACATTAATTTCACTTTTATATTATCTGTATTCTTATTTCTCAGCTTGGCCCTGGTTTTGTTCTATTCTAATTATGTTCCTATGATCATGAGGCACACTCTGTATCCTCTGTTACACTTTGCATCTCACCTTGGCAGGATTTGCAGCCTTCATGTCTTCCAAATTAGTGCCCAGGATCTCAGTCAGTTCCTCATCCAGCTCCCAGGATCCATTTGCCTTTTGGAGGGAAACCAGGTGCAGAAGGACATTTTCTCCACAAACTTTATGAAAAAATAAAAAAATATATATGACAGGGAAATTATGGGTCACAGCCTACCTGAGGCAGTCTCTTGAAACAGGGTCTGTAGTGAGGGTTCTGCAAGGTGTCCACTGACTATATCTAATCTGTGTTGGGTGACCAGTTGCTCTGGGTTCTGAACACTGCAGTAGCAGAGTCTGCTGTGGACAAGCCTTGATATCAGGTGGATTGTGTAGACATAGATTGCAAGGGGACTCATAGAACTAGAGGCCACTCAATTACAATAGGTTAGAAGGTATAAAGTTCTATATTGTAGATTACTGAAGCTAGACTCATTCTGGCAAATACATGGTGAAGTCAAATCTCACATCCTTCCTGCTGCCTCAAGTAAGTCACACCATATGTAGAGAAATGTCTAAGATGAAGAAACTGTAATGTTAGTTTATGGCTATCATAAGTCAGAAACACTGTCTGGGGTCCAATTTACCTTTGTGGTCATTTTGCAAGTTGGTTTCCTTGGTGGAGGATTGTGAGTATTCCATCACACTCATGGATTCTGTATCTTCTATACTATCATATGAAAGACAGGCATTTAACATTTCACCATCTGTGACAAAAAACAATGTTAAGGAAACTTTTCCTCAGAAGAAACTACCTTAGACTCTAGACCATGTCGTCATAGACCTGTAGGGATGCTTACCATACACTGAACGATGTGCTGACACATTATGTTTAGAAAGTACTCCACCTAGTAACATTCCTGAGTGATATGATGACCTGTAGCCTGAAAAATACAAATGCACAGTGGAGACTGCAACATCCTCTGTGTTCAACACCAATCAAAGATTATGTTAAAAGTGAGGTTTAGATTGATGACTTCTCTTTATGCCATCCTAGAGCCTTCATCCATTGGCTGATGGAAGCAGAGACAGACATCCACAGAAATACACTGAGCTGAAATCTGGAATTTAGTTGGAGAGAGGGAGGAATGAAGAACGAAGGGGTTTGTCCAAGGTTGGAGAAACCCACAGGAACAGTTGGACTGAACAAGGGAGAGCACATCGACCCCAGATGCTGTCTGGGAGGGCAGTAAAAGACTGATGCAGAACCCTGAACATGGATGTCAATAAGGAGCCCTCTGCACTCCAGGGAGCTTCTGGTGGTGGATTAGTATTTTTCCCTGGTGCAAGAAGGGACTTTGAGAGCCCATCCCACTCGAAGGGTTACACTCTGGCCCTGGACATATGGTGAAGGGCCCAGGCCCAGCACAGGAAGATTTGGTGGACTTTGCAGAGCCCCCATTGAGGGCCCTACCCTGCCTGGGGAGTGGTGGGTGGATGGAGTCGGGGGTAGGTTGGGGGTGGGGGAGGAGGGATGGAGTGATGGGAGGGAGAGGGAAAAGGGACTTACATGTAAAACAAGCTTATACCCTAACTTGAACTAATAAATAATTTTTTTTAAAGTGAGGTTTAGAGACACTAACTCCACCATCCATAGTAGCCTCACTCACTAACCACAATGTGCTGTTCTCCAGTGTGGCCTCTTCCAATGCAGACAGTCACCATCTGAACCCACTTTCTACTTCCTATTGAATCTTCTGGAACCCCTGATATGAGCTGAGAAAGCACAGCCTCAGATCACCTGCAGTACAGAACATTCTTCCAGATATACCTTAATGTTAAAAACATCTTTTTTCTCTATCACAAACCCATTTTATTTTTGTTCCTTTCAAAAGAATCTCAATGGCACCCTAAGCATCCAGGTTCAGAAGGTTAGATTGGCAATTGTCTAAGCCCAAGAATATTACCAGATTCTTTCTCACCTGGGTTAGCTTCCATATGTCCTCACTACTATCAACCATTAACTAATTAAGTCACCTTATACCAGTACCCAAAGTACCCAAAACCACACCACAGGCTTCCAGTTCACCACAATGTCTTCCATAAATTTGAGAATTTTTACTATCTGTGTAAGGAAATCATGCAACATTTGATGTAAATATCATGCCTTTCTCAGATCCATCTAATACCCATGTCTGATACCCTCAAGTTATTGGTATTATTCAGAGTTGTTTATCAGAAATATTTTAATGTAATTTTCAAATTACAACACCCACATTTCTAGTGTTTAAACTTGGATTTCCTGTTTTAAAACTGGTCATTGGCATGAACTGTTTTTTCTAAGTCCCTGATTCTTCTATTGTTTCAAATATATTTACTTACTTCATCTTTCCTTTTCAGTCAACCTAAACCTTAATCAAGAAGGTTACTTCCCTCTTCAATATTTACAATCATAGCCTAATTTCTAATCATAAGAAATATTTCAAAATCCTACATTAGTAATCAATTCAACACTCTCCCTCTTCTACACTTAAGTTTAAGTTGTGACACTTGCTGTAAATTATTGAGAAAATCATGTTCTTTAATTGGTGCTTACATTTACTGAAAAAAAGTCACCAAATAAAACTGGACCCTCTGACATGACTGAAAATTATGATCATTTTTGTTTTGTTTTTTTCATTGCCTAATTACCCCCTATAACTCTTTCAAACCTTCAAGTCTTTCTTAAATCCACTCTTCTACATTATCAGATGCAATCTAGTCATTTGCTATCTGTACCACCATTGACTCACCAACAAAAACAGAAATTAGATTTAAATTAAATGATTTGATTATTCTGTGTCTATGGATGCTTCTGTATCATAATGAGTGCTGGTGTTCTTCTGTACTTCTAATCTCTGTCACAGTTGGACAAAATCTGCTTCTCTAGAAAGATTAAGGCAAGCCATAAATCCTATTTGTGGAAGGATGAAGAAAACATGGAACATTTAAGAAATGTAATAAAATTAAATCAATGAGATTCTGAAACTTATCATTATCTATATTATGCACTTAGATATCTAAGAATCATTAAAAATAAGATTAAATTATAATGAAAGTTACCAGTGCTATATGGACATATGATAGGCAAATTTGAAAAAGTCATTGGCCTTGGAATCACTCTGGGAGCCAAAGGCCCCTGCACTGGCTGGGTGAGATCACTCCTTACAGCAATGAAAGCTGTGAAGGAGCTGAGGACTCCAGACTGAATGCTCATGTTCAACACATCCTCCTTTTCTCCATCTGATGTCTCATGGGAGCCCAAGTCCTTCATCTGAATCAAGGACTTTGCAGCCAACCGATGAATGGTGAAGCTGAAAGAAGACAGCACAAAATTAAGGGAAAGTAACTGCAAATCTAAAGACTCCTAAAAACTAATGATCGCATCTGAAAGGTAATGCAGAGACGAAGAGTTCAGATGAATGAATCAGAAAAAGAAAAGCTTAGAGGAAAAAGCAGAGGATAGTGACAGGAATGACTGAACCATCAAGAATGACAGAGAAAAAGAAAGGGAAATGTGGTGGTTTGAATAGGAATGACCTTCAAAGACTCAGGTGTTTAAGTGCTTAGCCAATAGGGAGTGGCACTGTTAGGAGATGTGGCCTTGTTCTTGTAATTATGGCCTTGTTGGAGGAAGTTTGCCCTCGTGAAGATGAGCTTGAAGGACTCAGATGCTCCGGACCATGTAAATAGCCTATGCAACATCTTGATTCAGTGTGGCATTCTTTCTCTGCTGCCTTCAGATCAAGGTACAGAACTCACATTCCTTCTCCTACACAGTGTTTGCCTGCCACTATGCTTCATGCCATGACAATCATGGTCTAAACAATTTTACTGTAAGCCAAACCCAATTAAATGATTCCCTTTGTAATAGTTACTGTGGTCAAAGTGTCACTTAATATCAACGGAAACCTATACCAAGTCAGTGAGTGAAAGGAGAAGAAGACAAGAGAAGAGAGATGTGGGGACAAGTGGAGATGGAGAAGCAAAGGTGAGTTCTTACCTGGCATTTGTCTTGGGTTGTAGGGAAAATGTCACCCTGTTTTCCAGACTCTTGCCTTGGAGGGTATACTTGAGGCACACTTCTCCTGAGCTCTCCACTTGCTGCAAATAAGAGGAGAGCAGGAGTGACAAGAACAGACTATAAACAGGAAAATGGTGAGAAACAGAGAAGCTTCTCAGCTCAGTGAATTATCACACTAAGAATCAGGTAGCATGGCATGAATGAGAGGATAGGAGGCTGGCTGCCTGACAAGTGATATAGCTTGCTGAACTTCCAAGGAAACATCACTGTTATAAAACTGTTGATAGATTGTCTCACTGAGTAAAGGAATGAATAATAATAGGTACTTACAGGCATAGTCCCAGTGAGTTGGGCATAGATGATTAATCTCTGACCCTTAAACATGACAGTCTTCTCTGGAGAAAGCATGCTAGCAGACAGACCAGGGGGAAAATCCCAGCTCAGAGAGATGTCTTCCACAGAACAGTTTAGAGCACACTTCAGAGATGCAAGAGCCTGTTGGAGGAGAGAAAAGCCAGTCATATCTTGTCACCAATGCTAAGAGAGAAATGTTATTCTTTTTCTGAATGTATGTATGCAAAGTTACACTTGAGAGACATAAAAGTGTAGGTGTGTGAGAGAAATATTTAACAAGGACACTTCTGCAGAAGTGAGTGAGAAAAGGGATAGGAAAAACATGGAGGAAGTTAGACATATGATCAGAGATGTCTTGTTTTCATATACTAATGAAGGAATATGAACTTATCATGCCATTGTGTCTAACACACACACACACACACACACACACACACACACACACATTTGTTTATCTCTTCTTTTGTGTCTTTTGCATAGAAAATGGATTTCTCCTCAATTACTAAGAGAACAGAGTACAATATCAGACAGAACAGCTAAATCTTTAAAGTTTTTTGTCTCTTGTCTTCAAAACAAAAGTTCAACCTCTTTATTTGTCTTTTGTTTGGATTCAAACCTACCATAGTCAAATGACAGTCTTTAGAAATTAGAGTGGGAACCTTTTTAACATTGTATGAATAGACTTACTAAGTGTATGGCCTGAGAGTCATGAAAGTGTGTCTTTTGCAGCAGGAATCCTGTTGTGACTCACAATCAGTCTGGACTTGCAACTCTGGTCCCTTAGCCAGTTCTCACCTTGGTCTGCATCCTGTCCTTGCCTGTGATAAACTCTGCAGTGCCCCCTGATACCCGTGCGATGCCTTTGATTAAACTGGTGGAGGCTCCTTCTCCAATACCAAATGAGAAACATCTGCAACAGTGAAATGATGAATGTTAGAAATGGGCTCTCCATAGCAGAACTATCAGTTCTCATGGGCTGCTAAATGACCCATGAGGATTGGTGAATATCTTTTCACCAACCCCACATCTGACAGAGGGCTGATCTCCAAAATATACAAAGAACTCAAGAAGTTAGTCCCCCAAACAACAAACAACCCAATTAAAAAGTGGGGTACAGAACTAAATAGACAATTCTCAATAGAGGAATCTAAAATGGCTGAAAGACACCTAAGAAAGTGTTCAACATCCTCATCCATCAGGGAAATGCAAGTCAAAACAACTCTGAGATACCATCTTACTTCTGTCAGAATGGCCAAAATCAAAAACACCAATGATTGTTCATGTTGTAGAGGATGTGGAGAAAGAGGAACACTTCTCCACTGCTGGTGGGAGTGTCAACTTGTACAGCCACTTTGGAAATCAGTATGACGACTCCACAAAAAACTGGGAATCAGTCTACCACAAGATCCAGCATTTCCACTCTTAGGCATATACCCAAAAGAAGCACATTCATACAACAAGGACATATGTTCAATGATGTTTATAGCAGCACTATTTGTAATACCCAGAAACTGGAAGCAGCCAGATGCCCCTCAACTGAAGTATGGATAGAGAAAATGTGGTACATTTACACAATGGAATACTACTCAGCAGAAAAAAAAAACAATGGAATCTTGAAATTTGCAGGAAAATGGATGGAACTAGAAGAAACCATTCTGAGCAAGGTAACCCAATCACAAAAAGACAAACATGATATGTACTCACTCATATGTGGATTTTAGACATAGAGTAAGGATTACCAGCCTACAATCCACACTGCCAAAGAAGCTAATAAACATGGAGTTCCCTAAGAGAGACATACATGGTTCCCTGGAAAAGGGGAAAGGGTCAAGATCTGCTGAGCAAATTGGGAGCATGGGAAGAGGGGGGAGGGAGCTAGGAGAATGGGAAGGGGAGAATAAGAGGGATGTTGAGGACATGAGGGAGCAGAAATGTTGAGTCAGGGGAAGAATACATGATAACAAGAATGGAGAGATCATAATAGAGGGAGACATTTTTGGTTTACAGAGAAATCAGGCTCTAGGGAAATGTCTGGAGATCTACAAAGATGACACCAGCTAACTATCATTGCAACAGAGGAGAGACTACCTTAAATGCCCTCCCCTGATTATGAGATTGATGACTGCCTTATATGCCTTCATCCAGCAGCTGGTGGAAGTAGAAACAGACACCCATAATAATCACCAATCTGAACTGGAACCCAGATGCAGAGAAGGACCAGTGATGAGCACAGAGGTCCAGACCATGCTGGACTGTGAAACACACAGAAACAGCTGACCTGAACATCTGGGAACTCTTGCTCCCCAGTCTGATAGCTGGAATACCAGCATGGGACTGATCCAGACCCCAGGAATATGGGTTTCTGTGAGGAAACCTCAGAAATCTATGGGACTTCCTGTAGAAGCCCAGTATTTATCCCTAGCATAAGTGTGGACTTTGGGAGCCCATTCCACACAGAGGGATACTCCCTGAGCCAAGACACACGGGGTTAGACCTAGGCCCTATCCCAAAGGATATGAAAGACTCTGATGACACCCTATGGAAGGCTTCACCATGCAGGGGGAGCAGAAAAGATATATGACAGTTAAGGTTTTAGTCAGGGGGTGGGGTAGGGGAAGACGGGTGGGAGAAGGGAACTGGGATTGTCATGTAAAACAATCCTGTTTCTTATTAAAAATATACTGTAGATATTTTACAGTATAGTTAGAGTTTCCAGTACACACACAACTAAAGAAGCAATGAAAATCTCTAATAAAACCAAATATTTGTTTCTTAAAATATATAAATAAATAAAAGATAGTTAAATCTGAATAAAAAACCATGAAGAGATACAGCACTTACTTCAAAGTCAGTGTAATGCTATTAATTTTTAGAAATCAGGCTTTATTTCTATTAGCTTTCAGAAATGCTTAAGTAAGTAAAAAAAATTCAATGTCACAAGTCTTTCATGGAGAAAGCCTCAGTTTCATGTTGTTAATGAAGATCTAGGGCTCAGAGAATTTACAAAATATGTTCTATTTTTCTATGAATTTCCTGTAGTAAAATATATAATAGTCAAGAATATATATGAAGATATAAATATTTTCAAAATTTAAATATAAAGTAAATGCACTGACACGTTGGCTGATACATTCAGTGTCTGTGGACTTTTCATTAACGTCAGTCATCAGCCACAAATCCTGTGATATGTGACCTTAGAATTAGTGTACTCTGTATATAAACATGAGGATCAAAGTTCATATTGTATTTTAATTCCTTCTTAACTTGTAAAGCAGTCACTATTGCTTTTAGCATTTTCAAGTTTATTGATAAGATAAGCAGATTAGTTGAGTTTCCATGCTTTTGTCATGCAGACCACCTGGAAGTGAAATACACAAATTCTTAGATCCTGATATTGAAGAAGTCACATATAAGATTCAAGAAAACCACAGTAAGTTCTACTCACAGAAATACTAGAGTAGATTATTCAAGCCAGGGAGAATGAGATACCTACAAATTATAATTTAAAAAATTTGTGTACATGCAGAAAACTACCAATAAAATAGGCTCCAATGACTGCTCAGAGAATATGAAGCTAGAAGCCAACCTGAAAATGAAGAGAAGAAAAGAGTACTGAGCCTCACTATGCTGTCCACCATTTGAAGCATGTGTCACGTGTGGATGGCTGAACAGCTAGGCAGCTTCAGAGTAGTAGGAAAACTGTGGAGTTTTGAGTTGTGTCAGTGGTAGTTATCCCTGAAAACACCTGAGAATTTTTCACAGAACATTGTAGAAATATTAATATATAAGAGGTAGAGATTAGTAAGAAGTGATCTAGCCATGAAATTTATCACACTAGATGGATTCAGACTACCAGTTTCTAGTCTAGACACACACTGAAAGCAAAGAGTAAGCCTATCGGGGGAAAATACCATCTAAATACCAATAGTCCAAAAATACATACTAAGTCCATTATGTATGAAAATCACATTGGCCACATTTAATAAATAATTAATAAAGTTTTCATAAAGTAGGAAAAGGGCATGATTTTTTGATGCTTGGTATGCATTGAACCTGAAACCTCCCAACATAAAAATCATGGGATTTCCTCCCCATTAATAAATATTCAATATCCTAAGACATAGGGAACAACTGAATTCCAGAAAATGTGGCAGAGATTGCTCTTCAGTAGTGAGATGGATTAACCCATAAGTGCAAAGTGGGACTATGCTACAGGAATAGTCATCATTTCTACATAAAATAATAAAGGATAAAATCACCACCTACCTCAACAAGTGAAGTGCATTTGTGGAAATTCAATGGTTCATTTATTAGTCACATGAACACACACCAGTTCACATTGTGAGTATACACACACACACACACACACACACACACAGAGAGAGAGAGAGAGAGAGAGAGGTTGAGAGAGAGACTTTCTATCCTTCTGCTTGGCCACAAAATAATAAGATATTGATAATAACATCAAAACAATTAAAAATCTCTATATCAATCATTATACTCAATGATATAATTTTTCATTTAAATTCTTTAATTAGTACTCATATTCACATATCCATCCCTCCCATTCCCTCTCCTTCCCAACCTCCTATGTTCCCCACCAATCCCCCCAAGCCATGCCCTACCTGCTCCCCAGGGTTAGTGAGGCACTCCACAGGTGACCTTGAAAGTCTGTCATATCATTTGTGGGAGGGCCTAGGCCTTCCTTTCTCTATCTGGGCTGCAATAGTATCCCTCCATAGGGAATGGGCTCCCAAAGTCCATTTGTGCTCTAGGGATAAAGATTGGCTCCACATTTAGACATCCCATAGACTGTCTTGGCCTCCTAGCTGGCACCCACATTCAAAGGGCTTGGTTTGGTTAATGGTATAAATTTTAATGTAAGGTAAAAAAATCAATAATCATTACTGTTATGATTACTTCCAATCTAATTATTTGTTCTTTTCTTTCAGGCAACTCAGAAAAGAAGGCATAGGAAAGTATAAGTACTTGAAAAATGAATACAAAGAAAATGAAAAAACTTATAGAAAATGTAAAAGTAAAGAAGCTTGAAAGCACAAAACTATAATCTCAGGATTTGAGGAGCTCAGAGAAGAGGCTCAAAAGACATAGGCCCTAGGATTTGTAGGAAAGTAATGACTCAAAATGCCTGACCTAAAAAGGACAACAGTGACTTTGGAGCATGCTTGAATCTTATCAAGTGGTGGGGAGGCTGAGGCTGAAAGGTGAATTTAATGCCAGTCTGGGCTGCATAACATAACTGAGGCCAGACTGCTTTATGGTGTGAGGGTCAAGAAAGAAAGAGAGATGAGTGAGGAAGAGGGAGGCAGGGAGGGAGACAGGATGGGAGGAAAGGAAGAAATCTAGAAGTATTAGCAAGTACCTCCTGGTATTGACATATTCACTATGCAAAGCCAGTGACTAAAACATAGGAGAAAAATAAAAGTCTATGAAGTAATTTTTGTACAGACATAAATAACTGGAAAATATTATAAATTTACTGCTAAATAGAGATATTAATTATAGATTATCCATTTCAAAGTACAAGAAAATAATTTTGAAAATATATATAGATGTATGAAGATATTAGTGTGTTTAACCTGATCTAAATATCTCTAAATAAATGTGTATCAGGCCTGATGCAATTGCCCATGAATTACACAATTTTATGTTTTTATGTATCAATTAAAAAATTTTAAATTGAAAGCCATTTCTTTCTATAGGATAGAAGAAGGGAAAGCTAATGAAAATAACTACATAGAAATATGAGATAGTTCTGAGAGATTCTGAATGTTCTCCTAGATAAGGAAATAAGGGAAATTACAGAAGTCATGGAAAGTAGCACTCTCAGCAATAAGGAATCCCTTCAGATAAAAACCCTATTTTGTTGCCTTGGAAATATAGCTATCATTAAAATTTGCAGTATTTTTTAAATTTTTCCATTATGTATGCTAGGAAGCCTGCAATCAATCTTATCCCTTAGCCAGGAGCCCTGTATAACCTAAATGCTAAGGTTTGTTTAGTCTCATTATAAGGTTACTTGTAGAAATGTCTTCCTACAAGGTCACAAAGTATGGGTAGGAGTAAATATTATTTTTATTTTTCTGTCATATATTACATTGAGACTCTCCATTCCATACAGTTCTATCCTATTCTCTCTCTTTCCCAGATCCCCTCATCCTCCATTTCCTTTCAGAAAGAACAGGCCTCGTATCATGGCATAACAAGATAAAATAAAACTAACTACAACTTAGCAAACATAAAAAATAAATTTGTTACACAGCATAAAAGAATAAAAAAATGTGTTCTAGTTCCTAAAGTAGTCAGCATGAGTATCTTGTAGCCTTAGATCATTTATATTGTGTCATAATATATCAGAAAGTAATGCAAGAATCAGGGAGTACATATTGATAAAACAGAAAGAAGCAAAGGAGGGAAGGAAGGATCATCACATGCTTTCCTTTGCAAATAGAATTTACAAACCACTATGCGGAAGGGAGATGCATCTCTGAGCAGGGACATGCAGGAATCTACATTAAGTCCCAAGAACCATAGCAGAAAAATACAATAAGAAGAGGAGGAGGGCTAGGAGGAGGGTAAGAAGGACAAAGAAGAGGACAAAGACAAGAAGGAGGTCAAGGAGGAACAGTCAATAATCTGTTTTTCTACTTAAGTAATTACTGATCTGGGTTAATCATGTGTGATATTTAAGGCTACTAATAAACATTAATAAACACAAGTAATAAACATTACTTGTGCACACACTTGTAAATCAGTCTGTCAGATGCTGCCTTTAAATAAGTAGTCAAGGTAACGTCACTTGACACATTGATGATTTTTGAATAATTATGTTACAAATAACCTGTATTATTCTAAATATGAATTAAAACTATGGATTATGTGAAAATAATTCTAATTCTTCATCAAAATACAAAGGACCTACTCCTGTGATAGTTCTTCATTATTAACTCCTGGAACAGAAAATATTAAACAAAGAGTTATGAAATACTTTGGTGGAAAAGTTATGAAAAGTGGACTCTAGTCTCAAATGATAATATGCAAATATTAAATATACTAATCAATGTGGTTGTTTTAGGGTGATTGCTTAATAGGGTGATTGCATTGTCTTTTGAAGGTGAGTGCATAATGCTTTATGTTGTTTTTATTGACTTCAACAACATATATTTACTTGTATTATATGCACTCAGTATCACTGTCTTTCTCAGGTTCACATCTCTGATACAAGCACTCAGGAGGGCAGAGGCAGGCAGCATAAATACATGAGTTTGAGGGCAATGTGTTTGATATAATGAGTTCCAGGAAAGCCAATATCTAGGAAGGAAGGAAGGAGGAAGGAAGGAAGGAGGGAAGGATGGAAGGAAGGAATGAAGGAAAGAAAGAAAGAAAGAAAGAAAGAAAGAAAGAAAGAAATAAAGGAAATCCTGATAAGGAACAGAATAGATTCTCTAGTGCATTGGAAATCAAGAAATACGAGAGAGTGATTAATTTCTCTGGTTTACTCCTGTAATACATTTGTGTCAGTGGCCAATGGATTAGAAAAGACACATCAGAAATAGTATGGACTTGTACCAGTGCTCACCATGACAGCCAAAGCACTGAAATTCAGGGAAAAATAACCAGAACAAGATTACCGATTATCTGTGATGAAAATGATCTTGAAGTATATTTTAGATTATCTAAAAGAAATAAATTTTGGATGCAGCCAGGTAATCCTAGATTCTTTGGACTTAAACCAAGAAAAGTGAAAGTTTAACTCCTGCCAGGGGAATGAAGAGTTCAAGATAACACTCTATTTCAAAATAAAACACAAATTAGAGGCCTGGAATAGAGCTGAGTACTGGAGTTATATTGGTTGTACTGTATTTCATAATTTCAAATTGGAAGGAAGATAGTCCACAAGTCTGGAAATGACTTCCTCTGGAAACTAAGGGTTACTAAACAAAAACCAGGAAATGGATAACCACTTATGAGTTGTTGGTCAAAGAGGCCCAGAAAACAAAATACAATATTGCCATTTCTCATGGTTGCCTACCTAAGAGAGATGTTAAGACCTTAATGCTGAAGGAAGATTGATGGAGATGGGAGGGAGATAGAAAATGGTGAAGAGAGATAGTACATAGAATGTATATATACATATATGAAACTGACAGACAATACAGAGAACAAAATCCTTTGATAGGAAAGGGTAAATCAACTGCATAGCTTGAATAGAGAAAAAAATTTAACTGTTCACATACAAAAGTCATAATTCAAAAGGGAAACTTCAGAGAATAGAAATTGAAGAGGCAATTACTTGTGTCAGAGATGGCAGCCAATGACTGCAGTTCTAGCACTCTAGAGATAGAGGCAGGCAGAAGGACACCCACAGAGGCCAGCCTGGTCTAGTAAAGGCGTTCCTTACTAGTCAGGACTTCATAAGGAAGCCTATCTTAAAAAAAGAAAAAAAACCAACAGTTTTGATAGTGAAAATGTAAACTATTGAGTAAGAAAATAGTCTTCAACATACTCATATTCAAAATATAACACCAAATACATATCAATAATAAAAGAAAGTCTACTAGAGAAAGCAATAATAGTAGTATAGAGACTTAAAGGAATATTAAAGAGGCTACTCAGTGCCTATTAAATATTTAAAATAGAATGAAGTACAGCTATTAGGAAAATAAAACTTTAAGCTTTGAGACACCTTATCCCATGCACATTTTTGGCTAAATTTTAAGTACAAAAAACCCTCAAATTGTTAGGAAAGAAAATAAGTGGGAAATATATGTAAAGCTATGTGAGTTTAATTGCTACAACTTGTAAAACTACCATTCCACAGAAATTGGACAACTCTATCTAATTAAAGAATAGTACATTTGGGTATGTTCATGTGACTGTGTTTCCTTTGTGTGGAATTGGGGTCTGGGATCCCTGAAAATACATTAAAACATGTGCCTTTACCTTACTCATATCCTCCCATATAACTATAAACTTGAGGACATATCTGGTGATAAGTAATACAATCACTACAGAGTTCAAAAAAAGTTTATGGTTATGAGCATTAATATAAAATATACTAGACTACTTCATTGAAGACATCCACCAATGAAACTTGCCTATGGTCACATACAAATTATGTTGACATCTAAATAAACTGGTGAGATAAAGAGCAAAGGTGAGGTATACAGAAAGACATACAGTGAAACTCAGTATGATACCAAATCAAGAATCCACAAAAATTACCCTTGATCTAGGTTTAAATTAGTGATTGATGGAAAGAGAGCAAGAGAAGACTGGTAACTGACCAGCTCTGGACCTGTGTTGGATGCAGAGTGCACACTGTGACAGCTCATCTGCCCAGAATAAATGACTTGAGTAAGTTTCTATTGTAACATGTCAATACCCTTACAATGAAAACATAATTCAGTATAAACTTCAAGAGCTTTGGAAAAATAAGGAACAAAGACCTTCTGGTATCACCTTTAAGTGGAAAACTACTTTCTATAATTTTATAGAAATTAAAGGGTCAGCTATTTAAGTGGAAAATCCTTGAGTCACTTTGTGCTTGTAGAAGCATGGCATCCTGTGATATCATGTGGACCAAGTCATATGTGGTGCTGCTTGGGTTTCAGGCAGCACAGTTGAAACAATACTCCCCTCATACCTGTGCTTCTTGCTGTTTAACTTAACTTCATTAATGACCCTAAATGTGCCATTAACTTCTCCATCTGTGAAGACAAAGACCTGGAAAAAATGCATTCATTGAGATTGTGTCTAGTTCATCAGAATACAACAGCATTGGTCTTTGTGGCCCACAACTGTTTCTAGTCTTTGTAGCTTCTTCACACAAGGGTGGAGACCACAGTGCTCTGCTATCACTTGCTCCAGCTGGCACAGAGACTCTTCAATGGAAATAGTTTTGCACCATGGAAATTTTCACACCCTCCCTATGCAGCTTTCATCTTAAACTTTTGTGGTAGCACAAAAGAGGACTGACTGACTGCCTAATGGAATAGAGGAAAAACACTGCCTCTGGTCTTTCCCACCTCACTGTATTGTAGATGACTTAAGTTTACACATTACTCACACAATTGTATATGGGGGAACTGGGGATCAGGAATTGGAAAACTACACTATTCATCCGTACTAGTTTGCTTCCAAACTTACCTGTAAGGGATGACCAGGAATGGAGGGTCCCTTGTAAATGTTGAGGAGTGGTGTTAAGATTTCAGTGCCCCCTAGGTCAGCTCTCAGATGCTTCACTCTTTTCATTGACTCTTCCATTGTTTCCTGAGTGTATTTCACACTCTCCCTTAAAGAAACAAGCATGACTGACTAGTCACATGACAGTAGCACACACTGCTATTCCCATCACAAAATTACTATCACAAAAATTGCTGCTGAAAACCTCAATGCCCAAGACTACTCTGCACTAGTCAGATTAAAAGTTAAAACGATTCTTTAAAGTACGTTTTTTTCACAGTCCCGAGGTCTTCCCAGAAACTTACGGAAAGAATTTTTCATAAGAAGATCCAAATCGATAGATGTTGAAATAACAACCCATAGGTAAACTCTTCAGCAACAGCAACAGAGTTTCCTGAAGGTGAGAGAAGATGAGGAGGTGGAGTGAAGGAGATCTCTCATACCTACCCAAGTCTAGTTACTCATGGTATAAAAAGTCATCATCTCCTGCCAACTTGTATTTCAATGTTGAGATCACAGTGACCATGCTTGTTATTTCTTAGATGGAGAACTGACCTACAGCTACAAATGGGCCCTATTCATGCCCTTCCCAATCATCCAAACCTGGCCTTGCAGAAGAATGAAGAATCTGGCTTTACCTTGGCAGCCTCTATGCGTAGCTGAGAATCATTCCGGTAGCTCAAGCGGGATCCCATACTTCCAGAGCAGTCCATGAGGAATACAAATTCTCCACAGGCCCTTGAGCACTCCACTTCTGGGAGATCTGGATAGAAGCTCACCATTGCAGAAGGAGAACCCATCAAACTATCTGTACAGAAAGGAGAAGAACCTTGTAATGGGTGTTTTTTAGTTCCCAAGACTCAATTTTAATTCAATAGAGAACTGAAAAGCTAAAATATAAAACCCTTTGTTTGAGCTTTTTGTGCTGTGTGCATAGGAATAAATGTGAATGTTCAATATTAAAGAGAAGCAGAACAGAGATGAGAGTCAGGGAAATAGGGTAGGAACTAATAGAAGTTACCACCCAATTGGGTTTAAAAGACATCTATAAAACCTTCCATCCAAACACAAAAGAATATACCTTCTTCTCAGTAACACATGCAACCTTCTCTAAAATCACAACATAGTTGGCAAAATATAAAACCCCAACAGACATAAAAAAATTGGAATAACCTCCTATATCTTATCAGCCCCTGTCCTTTAAAGTTAGAATTCTCCCCTTCTCATTCTCATAGTTCCCTCTCCCTTTCTCCATGCTCCCAATTGCTCAGGCTATCTTGTCCCTTACACTTCTCCAGAGGAGGACACGATGGGGCAGGGATATTGAGTTGGGGCAAGAACAGAAGAGAGCAACATAAGAGAAATTTAAAGAGAAATCTGCCACTAGAAAAATGTCCAGTGATCTACAAGGATAAAACCAAATAACATTGTAAGGAATAGTCAAGAATTTACCTTAAATGGAGTTCTATGATAATGAGATTAATGACTAACTTACATGCCATCCTAGAGCCTTCATCTAGCAGCTTGTAGAAGTAGAAGAAGACATCCTCAGCTAAGCCTTGAACTGAACTGAAGTCCAGTGGCAGAAAAGGACTGATGAGCATAAGGGTCCATACCAGGCTGGTGAAACCCACAGAAACAGCTGACCTGAACAAGGGAGAGCTCTTGGTTCCCAGACTGATAGCTGGGAAACCAGCATGGGAGTGATCCAGATGCCCTGAATGTGGGTGTAAGTGAGGAGACCTTGGAAATCTATGGGGCCCCTTGTAGTCAATCAGTAGTTATCCCTAGCATAGGAATGGACCTGGGTGCCCATCGCATGCACATGGAGGGATATTCCCTGAGCCTACACACAAGGAGGTTGGCGTAGGCTCTATCCCAAAGGATATGACAGACTCTAAAGAGCCCAATGGAAGCAGAAAGGGTATGGGATAGATAATGTGTTCGTTACGGGTGGGGAGGGGAGGTGAGGAGGTGTGGGAGAGGGACCTGGGATTGACATAAAATAATCTTCTTTCTAATTAAAATAAAAAGAAATTAAACATAAAGTTAGAATTCAACAACAACATAGATTTCAGAAGAATTACAAAATCATGGAAATTGAATAATGCACATTTGCACCATTCCTGAGTCAAGGAAGAAATTGAAGACTTCCAAGAATGCAATGAGAATGATGGAACAACACATCCAAACTTATGGGACTCTTTGAAAGCAGAGATAAGAGGAAAGTTCAGAGCAGTAAGCACTCACATGAAGAAAATGGACAATAGTCACACTAGAGAGTTAACAGCAAAAGCCAATGGCCTACAAAAAAGAATCAAACTTACCCTGGAGGAATAGCCACCTAGAAATAATCAACTTAAGGGTTGAACTCAATAAAGTAGAAACTAGGAAATCAATACAAAGAATCAATGTAAACAAAACTTGTTTCTTCCAGAAAATCAGCAAGGAAGACAAACCATTATCCAAACTTACCAAACTGCAGAGAGAGAACATGCAAATTAACAAAATCAGAAAAGAAAAGAGGGGCATAACAATGGACACTGAGGAAATCCAGAGAATCATCAGGTCATACTTTGAACACCTGTACTCTCCAAAATGCATATAGAAAAGAAATGGCTAATTTTCTTGGTAAATATCACTTACCAAAATTAAATCAAGAACAGATAAGAAATTTCAATAGACCTATAAACGCTAATGAAATAGAAGCAGTCATCCAATTCTCCCAACAACAAAAGCCCAGGATCAGATGGCTTTAATGCAAAATTCTACCATTAATTCAAAGAACAGATAATATCAAATTCTCCTCAAGTATTCCACACAATAAAAGCAGAAAGGTCATTGACAAACATTTTTTATGATGCTTCAAAATTCTTGGTACTGAAGCCACACAGACACAACTAAGAAAGAGAACTATACACCATTATTATTCATGAACATTGATGCAAATATACTCAATAAAATATTGACAAATCTAATCAAAGAACACATCAGAAATATCATCCAACATGATCAAGTAGGCTTCATTGCAGGGATGCAGGAATGGTTCAACAAAAGAAAATCTGTGGAGTTAATCCGCAAAATAAACAAATTGAAAAAACAGAACAAAACACATGATTATCTCATTAGATGATGAAAAACGCCCTTGACAAAATCCAACACTCCTTAATTGTAAAGGTCTTGGAGACATCTGGAATACCTGGAACATACCTGAACATAATAAAAGCAATATAAAGCAAACCAATAGCCAACATCAAATTAAATGGACAGAAACTCAATTCGATATCTCCACAATCAGGAACAAGACAAGGCTGTCCACTCTCTCCATACCTGTTCAATACTGTATTTGAAGTTCTAGCTAGAGCAATTAGACAACAAAAGGAGATCAAAGGAATACAAATGAAAAGAAAAGTCAAGCTTTCACTATTTGCAGACGATAGGATAGTTTATAAAAGTGACCCAAAAACTCTACCAGAGAACCACTACAGCTGAAAATACCTAGAGCACAGAGGCAGGATACAAGATTAATGCAAAAAAAAACCACTAGCCCTACAATATACAAAAGATAAATGGGCTAAGAAAGAAATCAGAGAAACATCACCCTTTACAATAGAACAAAGAACATAAAATACCTTGGGGTTAAGATAACCCAGCAAGTGAAAGAAGTGTATAGCAAGAAATTTGAGTCTTTAAATGAAGAAATTAAAAAAGACACCAGAAAATTGTAATATCTCCCATGCTATTGGATAGGTAGGATCAACATAGTAAAAATGACAATCTTGCCAAAGGCAATCTACAGATTCAGTGAAATCCTCTTTAAAATCCCAGCACAATTATTCACAGATCTTGAAAGAACAATTCTCAACTTTATAAGGAAAACAAAATACCCAGGATAGAGAAAATACCCTGTACAATAAAGGAATGTCCAGAGGAATCACCATCCCTGACTACCAGCAGCATTATAAAGCTATAGTCCTGAAAACAGTTTTGTATTTGCAGAAAAATAGACAGGCAGACCAATGGAATCAAATTGAAAACACTTATATTAACCCACACACCTAGGAACACCTGATTTTTGAAAAAGAAGCAAAAATTATAAAATAGAAGAAAAAAAAGCATCTTCAACAAATGGTGCTGACATAACTGGACGATGACATGTAGAAGAGTGCAGATAGATCCTTCTCTATCATCATGCACAAAACTTAAGTCCAAATGGATCAAACACCCTCAACGTGAATCCAACTACACTCAGCCTCTTAGAAGAGAGAGGAGGAGGTTTCCTAGAATCATTTGTTACAGGACACCACTACCTTAACATAACACCAGTAGCACAGACACTGAGATCTACAATTAATAACTGGGACCTCTTGAAACTGAGAAGCTTTTGTAAAGCAAAGGATACAGTCAACCAGACAAAATGGCAGCCCACAGAATGGGAAAAGATATTCACCAGCACAAATCTGACAGAGAGCTGATTTCCAATATATACAATGAACTCAAGAAGATAGTCACCAAAACACCAACTAATTCTATTAAAATTGGGGTACAGAACTAAATAGAGAATTCTCAATAGAGAAATCTAAAGTGGCTGAATGATACATTAGAAAGTGCTCATCATCCTTAGCCATCAGGGAAATGGAAATCAAAACAACTCTTAGATACCATTTACTCCTGTCAGAATGGCTGAAATAAAAAACACCAATGACAGTTTATGCTGGAGAGGATGTGGAGCAAGGGGAACACTCCTCCTCTGCTGGTAGGAGTGCAAACTGGTACAGACATTCTGGAAATCAGTATGGTGTTTCCTCAGGAAAATAGATATCAATCTACCACAACCCAGCAATTCCATTCTTAGGCATATACCCAAAAATGCACATTCATACAAGAATGGCATTTGTTCAACCATGTTCATATCAATATTATTTGAAATAGCCAACATCTGGAAGAAACCTAGATGCCCCTCAACTGAAGAATGGATCGATAAAATGTTGTACATTTACACAATGGAATGTTACTCAGCAGAAAAAGATAATGGAATCTTTAAATTCCAACAGAAATGGAGGGAACTAGGAGAAACCATCCTGAGTGGGGTAACTCAATCTCAAAAAGAAAATATGGCATGTACTCCCTCATACATGGATTTTAGAATTAGAGAAAAGGTGTACCAGCCTACCATTCACACTGCCAGAGAATCTAAGAAACAGGAACAAAGAGACACATACATGATCCCCCAGAGAAAGGGAAAGGAACAAGATCTTCTGAGCTAATTGGGAGCATGGGGGAGGAAAGAGGGAGTTAGAAGAAAGGGAACAGGAGAAGAGGAGGTGAGTGGAGGACATGACAGAGTAGGGGTATCTAGTCAGGGGTAGAATAGAGGAGAGCAAGAGATAAGATATCAAAATAGAGGGATTCATTTCAGGTTTAAAGGGAAATCTGGCACTAGGGAAATGTCCAGAGATCTACAAGGCTGATCTAACTAACAATCTAAGCAATAGTAGAGAGGCTACCTTAAATGCCCTTCCAGATAATGAGATTGATTACTAGCCTATATGTCATCCTATATCCTTCATGCAGTAGCTGATGGAAGTAGAAGCAGACAACCATAGCTAAACACTTTAGCTGAACCCTGGAATCCAGTTGCAGAGAGGGAGGAGTTATAAGAATATAGTCAAGGTCTGGTTGGAGAAATGCAAAGAAATAACTGACCTGAACAAGTGATTTCTCGGGGATCCCAGAATTATAGCTGGGAAATCAGCAAAGGACTGTTCCAGACTCCCCTGAACGAGGAGGTCAGTTTGGAGGTCTGGGCTTTCTATAAGGCCTCTGGTAGTGCTTCAGTATTTATCCCTACTACAGGAACGGACTTTGGGCCTTTAGTCCACATAGAGGGATACTCTCATGGCCTAGATACATGAGGGAGGGCTTAGGCTCTTCTCCAAATGATATGACAGACTTGGACGATTCCCTCATGGAAGGCCTCACCCTCCATCTTGAGCAGAAAGTGTTTGGGATATGGTATCAGTAAGAGTCAAGAGAGGAGGGGAGGTGAGGGAACTGGGATTGACCTATAAAAGAAGCTTGTTTCTAATTTAAATTTAAAAAATAAAAAAAGAAAACTGGGAGAAATCATTATAAATATGAACCAGGTCCCGATCTTTAGACATACAGCTTGTATAACAGTAGCATTGTTTTTAATGTGTAAAGTAACAGATTTCTTCCCACCTGGAGAGACAGGTCGTTACCATGGTACTAGCAGTCTTCTGGGTAACCAGAATACCATGAGACTGGTGAGAATGTATGTACACAATGTTTAGAACAATGTCCTGTAGGTGAGTGGTCAGCACTCTGTGTATGGTGTCTACTAGTTCTTTCAAACCAATTCAAGTGATTTCACTTTCATAAATCAGAGCTTCCTTTTTCATTAATAATCACCTCTACTTTTTAAGCTCAGCTTCTTCTTCTCACCTATACACATAGCAATTCCTACTATAGGGTTATTGTAAGGTTAGGTGATATAATATGCTTACTGAATTTAGTGTAGAACTTAACTTATAATTCTATACATTATTATTTTAAATTTTGTGTAATTATACATTCTAAAATTAACATATCAGTTGTTTCATGCATTTCTGTGAATCATGATCACATTAAAGGATTATAGTGAGATAAGCTGTCCCTTAAGCTTCCTTCTCTTGTGCTTCTGAAAGACATACAGACAGAAAATCATACGGCAAAATATGTGACTGAGAAGAAGAAACTAGATTCACAGATGGAAGGAATTAACAAACCTGAGATTTGACCAACTCTGTCCCCTGATAGGTTGCAAAACTGGTCATAGAAAAGAGGTAAGAAAATCTTCATGGATGCAAGGAAAGGTAGACAGAAAGGTAGAAACTGAGACCTTACTTATTACTTATGAATTTTCAGCATCTTAAGGTCCTATATCATGGATAAAGCAATATTCCTGATTGAAGACCAAATCTGAGTTTGAATATCTCATGACACCAAAAAAGAAGTTTAAGAAATCAAAAACATTGAGATGAGGAAGTTAACAGAAACCCAAGGAAGCTACAATTTCCCTTAGTAACTCAGAGGGGAGTGGCTAGACAGTGAAGGGAGAAGAAAAAGCCCCTACATGTGGTTCAGTATGAAGTCACCTTTGTAAAATATGGTAATGTTATATTGGTGGCAGTTAGGTATGCAAACCAAGCTTCATGGTACAGTCCTCACAGTGCTTACAGTTCCATCACTGAAGCCTAAGATCAGACATCACACTGTGAAAATGATTGGCCCATAAGGTACTCTCATGTATCTAACCTGAAAATGATTATTTGTAATGCCCTTCTTGGGTTGGCTGATGACTCCTGCAAACAAGCTCAGAATGGGCCAGAAAAGACAATGAAAGCAAAACATGTGTGGGAACTGTGCCAGCTTTAAAAAATGTTAGTATACATATAAGGGAATGTTTTAAATGACAATCACTAGATGTACATAAGAAACAAAACTCGATGGAAAGCTAAGTTTAGTTTAAGAAAAAAATCAAGTGAGCTACAAACAAAGAGTGTTTGCTGGATTCTTGTGATTGTTTCAAAGGTTAATTTCTACAGGACACAGGAAACCTAAAACTACTTCTGAGTCAAATTTGGCCACTATTAGTCATAATACAAAAAAGTAAGAACTAACAGCAAGATTACATCCAGTTGTGATGAATTAACCAATAAAATATATTTATTCAAAGTGTAATTATTATTCATGTAGAAAACTACTATATGCATAATGCCTAGATTATAATACACTTGTTTTTCTAATTCAACTATTTTTATAGTGCTATTAGGAATTATAACTACTTTTCTTTTCCCATTATTTAATGGCTGTCTTCCTAAATTCACCAGTTCATTACAATAATGAAATCATAACTCATTGGGTAACTGATGACAGAAATAGTGACTGCACTACTTGTTTATATCATTTACTAATATTGGATAACATTATAAAATCAGTCAAAATAATCTGCATAGTATATAGACATTTAGATTTATTTCAGAAGAAATATTAGCAATATTATAATTGTCAAAATGAGTGTTTATTATATGCAGTTTAAATTTTTTCAAAACAGTTGAAACAAATTGATTTGCTTACACTTATCTGAGAATGTAAAGTCATCACACCATGTAAAGGATGACATTTTATCAGATTGGGACTTCAATGATCCTATGAAAGGAAAAGTAGTCACTGAATTATTTTTATTTGTCATTTTTGTAAGATCAGTTATTATTACATGTTGATAATAGGCTGCATATTTTCTTTGAAATATTTGGTCATACTTTCCCTCTAATTATCTATGAATCTATGTAAATTAGCCATAGGACATATTCACCTTATTACTTATTAATCCTTGTCATATTTCCATATGGAAGTGAAAAGTCAATATTTCAATGGTCATACACTGATCCTGGATAGAGAATTGAAAATCAGGACTGATGGAGAGTTACATCTTAGAAAGGGACCATAGTGGGAGACAGGAAATACCTGGCTTCATGTCCTGCATCCCCATCTCCACAGCTACACTGGGGCTGTGCACTTCACTGTAGTAAATCAGGAGTTCCACATCCTGGTCAAACTTGTGTCCTTCAGCCAAGGAAACCTGAGGAGGAGACCAGCAGAGTAGCCATGTTAGAACTGACACTGATCGCTCCTGAGATAAAGTCAGAGTACAGGGTCCCAGGCTTCTTCCATGAAGACACAATCAGAAGTATAGAAAAGACCGTATGAAAAAGGGTCTACATTTTACCCAGGAGAGAAGGTAGATAGTGTGCCCAACCAAACATGAATGGAAAAAGTAAGGGGGCATAGGAGGAATGAATGATGACTAAGTCAATGACAGGGACAGAGGGGACTTAAAGTAGTGTTATCTTACTATTCACCTGAGCAGAAGTCTTGTCATGACCTAGGTACTGAATAGGACTCAAGGAACAGTTGGATTGGACCCTCTCAATGCCATGCTGAGAAGTGATGGTGGCAACCATGCTGAGTGTGTAGGGCAGGTCCTCCAAAGCGACTATGGGTGTCTTTATATTCAAACAACTGTTTGCTGACTGTTCTATAAAATGTACATTATTTCTGTTTTCCATGCCAACAATTTCCAACAGAAACATAATTTGGTGTATCCCCCAGCCATTCTACTACTGGTTTTCAAAGGCAGAAATTACTTACCAGAGAGTTGGTATCTTGGATTCAAGATTGCTGGGAGCACATAGCGCAGGGCACCATCTGTTTCCAGAGGCAGTTCCTGCACATACCTCAGCGTAACTCCCACCTTAGCCCCAGGCTGGAGGTTCCCAATATTGCAAGAAAAGACATCCCTGGAGTAGTCATCCTCTTCCAATAAGTAAGCTTGGTGGCCCTGGGAGATGGCATTCTCATAGTTTCTCTGGGCCTACAGTAACCAAAGGGAGAGTTGAAATGAAATAAAAAAAAAGGAATACGGACTGTTTAGGTATATCATAGATCCTGTGAAAATCACAACTATTCTCTTAGCTTCTACTTGATTCCTTCTGCCTAACTGATTTTAGCCAAACAGTAAGCAGAAGTGAATGAAAAAAGGAACAGTTATGAGTTGTTTATAAAGATAAATGTAGAAATCAATTTAAAGTAAGAAGAGAAGAGAAAATGTACTTATCATTCACACCTGCACCTTCTCCTGCAGTTCTGCCACAATTTTCTTCCCATCCACCAAAGCTTCAAAGCTGTAGACAGCAGAGTCTTCATCCATGGGGAATACAAAGATGGCCTCTACTGGGACTTCTTCCTCATTTACATAATTGAAGGTTGCAGACACACCAGCCACAAAGTCATTAATGGACAAGGTTACTGAGATGCTCTTCAGTGGTACTGGGGAAGATATCAGTTTTTAGGAAATCAACAAACTTTACTACAGTGGTACTATAGATGAGGAGCTGTGATAGGTACAATGACCTCATCACTTAGCATAGTATTCATCACTTAGCATAGTATGGCATTCTTACCTGGCTCCATGTCACCAGTGATTAGACCACAGTGATCCTCCATGTTGACTTTACACATCTGTAGAAATGATACATCAATAAGCAGTTCATGTTAGAAATTATACCATAAATAACTGCAGCTTATGTGCTTCTCTTTTGCAGGAGCAATTTAAAATTCTTAGTGTGGGAATAAGGATATGTGGAGAAAAGAAGGAGGGATGCCAGCAGTGATAATCCTGATTCATGCTCCTCATGTGGTTAGGCTGTAAGAGTCCATTAAACTGGATTTCACTAAAATACCTTCAACTCTTTCAAAAACTGTTCTATATTTACAAAAGTTGTTGAATGAACTACCCACAGGGCCTTGGATAGATTCCATAGGTAAACCCCAGCATTCTCCATTCCCAATGAGTCAGTCTTAATAGTTTATTTACTTTTATGTTCTATGTAAGAGTATCTGCCTGAAAGTATGTCTATGCATCACATGCAGGAATATACTCTTACACATAACATGTTTCACAAATCATAGGATGTTGTATTCACTGGGGCTGGATTTACAGATGATTCTGTGTTGCCATTTAGGACCTGGAACTTGCCCTCTGGTCCTCCAGAAGAGAAAGCAGAACTCTTAAAGACTGAACCACCTCTTCAGCCCCTATTCCCAGGTCATCCCTTGAATACCTGTGAGATTCAAATGGCATCCTACATTATGTTACTCTTATTTAATCAATTAACTTTAGTATTTAGTATTGAAATTACCCACTTTTTTATTTATTTTCAAGATATTGCCACGTGACTCACTACTGGTCCAATGCAGACAGTAAATAAGTCACTGGGATCTGCTTAAAACTAACTGACTATTGATATCATCTTGTTTGCCGCATAACATCTATCACATTGTAACCATTGCTCAGAGAACAGAGAGAAGTGTCAGAAAGTTTCTAACAGTCCATGGTCACAGACGACTACTGTTAATCAAGGTTGTTGTCCACGACAGAGCCATTGTAGTCATGAACTCAAATCAGGTGCTGTAACTTGCACAAGACAAGCACCATCAAACCAGTCAATATTTAAGCATGTACAGTCTAATACCTACCTGGGGAAGTTTCTTTTTGTTATCCCTTTGAGGTGAGGCAGTCATTTTTTTTTTTAGGGATTTGGTCCCATGTAGGTTGCCCATACTCCAGTTGATGACCTTGCACCTATGTACATATTGGCAGCACAATTGGATTCAATAGGTTAAGAAATATAAAAGGATATGCTTTTGGAAGAGGGACCTTTTACTCGTCCGGATAAGCTAGAAGGTGAGACTCAAGGTGATACAATCAAATGTATTGCACATACCTGAAAATTTTTTAAAGGATATGTTGACAATATTATATATTTTTAAAGTCATTCTCTGGTATAAAGGCAATATGTGTATAATGTTGTTTTTTCTTTTATAAAAGACTTTCTTAAATATATTTCATAAATTATGATTCTGTACATTCCTGATTGTAATATGAAGACAAAGCAATTGATTTATTTTTAGGAATATTTTTAGGAATATATTTAGGAAAATATTTGTGAATATTTTCTCCACAGAGCCAGAGATTGGGCTATTGCTATTCCGAATCATGATCCCAAATAAACCTGGAAGCTATGCTGGGACTTTCTAAGCCTGAGCACTTGCTAGCTTGCCTCTCCCTGTTGTCACTGTATGTGACCACAGTGTTTTACACCACCAAAGGTGGTTTAACCTGGAAATCCAGCCTAAGGACCCAAAGTGGCACAACTGGGAACACACATCATGTTTGTTCAGTCCCCCTAGAAACCCAACCTTCTCTTTCAGATCTACAAGTTGGAAAACCCTTTTGAAGTATCATCTTTCCATCGCTGGGCAATCCACATCAGCAATTCTGAAGGCTTTGGAGGTCTGTGGCTTGGTCCTCTAGCAAGATCCTAATGATTATTTTAAACTCTCAGATTGGGGTTGTAGCTCAGTACAAAGAACTTTCCAGCTTTTGAAAAAATCCAGAATTCGCTCTCTAACCTAAGACTTGGTAGAAGTCTGGGGATACCTCCTAAGTCTCCATGAACACCACCTCCCCAATATCAGTGGTGTTTTCTATACAACTTACATCAGTCACACAAATCTATCAAATAATGAGCTATTTTGAACTATTGGAAAAGTCTGACAGCATTAGAATGGCTCAGAATTTGTCAGTAGCACAGAGGTAGCAGCTAAGCAAAGAGGAGGGGGACAGCAAGCACTGGGAAGGACTTTCCCTGGAAGCCTGTAGAGGGGCCTGGAGCAGGAGAGAATTTCTACTGACAGTAGTAAGAAGCTTAGAGCCAGACAGTCACCCAGGAGCAGCTCAGCTGAGGATGGACTGTCTGGCAGCAGAGATCTCAGGCTGGCAGTGGCCACTGCAGGAGGCTGACTGAGAAAAGAGGAGGACAAGGCTCCCCTATAGTGAGACATTGATTTCCTGATTCCAACCTCAGAACAAATTTATCTCAATGAATGTGTCACCCTCCCCCGATCCTTCCTTTGTCTTCAGTTTGTGGAAAGGGTTCAAAGGCCTTGTGGAGAAGACTGTATCCAGGGGTGACTAAAGTTACAGCCTCAAAGTGGATGCAGCTGTGGATCTAACAGTCATGTCAGTTAGTACCAGATCAATGGCTGCCAAGAAGCAGGGTGAGTCAGCAGGCCACACCGGATGGTTACAGCTTCAGGGAGAGGGAGAATCTGTGCTTCAAGCTGTGAAAAGTGATTCTAGTGGGGAATGAAGAAAAATGGTTACTTAATACATGGGCTCTCTAAGACCTTCAGTGCCAGATGTGTACAAAGGGCACAAGTTCAAGCTCTGGGATGTCTATAGAGAAGGATTTATGGGCTGCAATGGATCAGGGTGTGTGGAGAATGAAAGCTCCATTTCCTTAGGACAAACTTACCTGAAACTGAGAAGAAAAACAAAAAACAAAAAGCAACAACAACCTATTTTGTGAGCTACAGAAAGGGTAAGAAGAACAGGGAGGAAGGGAGAGAGAGAGAAAGAGAGAGGGAATATGAACCTGAAATAGAGATCATTTATGTACTATTAATCTAGAAAAATCTTCAGACACCACACGCCACCTCTAGATTTCTGCTAAAAGGTACTTACAATTCTTTGTGGTGTTGGCTAGCATAAGAGGCTCTTACCCTTTAGATGCAGCAGCTAGGATTCTCCTCAGAACGCAAAGTTTTCATCTACTTCAAGTCCCCTCTGCTTATAGCAGCTGTAAAAGAAAGCGAAAGCAGATAAAGTCAAACTAGAAGGGGGTAGGACCCACCCCCTTCTAGGGACCCGCTATAAAGTTACAATTGTATGAGGAAGGGATAGATTGAAAATTCTCAGTGAAGTATTGAATTTTGCCTTGTGTCTTGATGAGTGTTTTGCTTAAAATTTAGAGCAATTGCCAGGTTTTCCCATTGCATGTTCCAACCAGAGAAATATGTGAAGAGACAGTCAAAGGCACAGGATTTTATTTTCCAGGTTAAACATTGCAACTGTACCATATTAAAATGATACAAAATGCTGTTCAGCTTCTTAACAAGCTTGCTCAAAGAGCATCCTCTCTGCTACATCTGACAAACAGGAATATTCTGTGCATTATATTATAGCATTGGCTTTGGTCTATAGTCTATACCTGGAAACAGGACACACATTTCTACTACCAAATAATTTCCTCCTAAATTTTGTATCCTTGAATCTATAAAATTAGTATAAATTTATAATTATCTCCTGAACTATTTCAAGGTATAATGGATCAAAATGCATGTGAAGCTTACAGATGGATATGCAAATGATAATGAATTCCAATGTCCTCACAGTTTCTCTTTTATGAATAATGGAATTTTTTTCACTTGCCAAACTGGTTGTAAAAGAGAATGCGTATGTGTAGGAATCATTTCCTGTGTTGTTCCTCTGACACAATGTAACTCATCTCTGATGTCTGCAGTATCTGGGTAGCAAAGTCAGATGCTGGTAAGGCTGGCAGAGCTCATTCTCTGGTCTAGTGGCGTCAAAGTCTCGAAATTGAAGTTGCCTGCAGTGCAGACGTGAAGGTTTGTTTTGAAAGCAGTGAATCCAATAGCACATCTAGGCTGCTGCTGTCTGTAGGATAAGTATATTTAAGAAATACCCACAAGTATAAAGACTTTTACTGTTACAAAAGCATCAATTAATTTTATTTAAATGTTCATTTATATTATGTTTAAATAGAAAGAAAGGTTGCCACCTTTCCTATAAAATATTCAGTAAATTAAATAATCCAGGATTTCATGGAGAAACATGTAATTCATTCTTTCACAACATATCTGTCAGGGAAATCAAATGGAACAGAACAGTGCCCTGGATTTCTTTTTTTAATAATTTATTTATAATTTTATCTACCCACCACAGTTTCCCCTCTCTCCACTCCTCCAAAACTCTCTCCCCTCCCCCACCTGTGTGTTTCACCCCCTCAATCCACTCCCCTGTTTCTGTTTAGGAAAGGGGAGTTCTCCTTGAGTATCAAAAATATGTCTTATCGTTTAATTATGGAAAGCTATTTTACCTTGCCTTTCTAAGGTACTTCATGATCTAATAAACAGCTGAATGACCAATATATGGGCAGAGAAAGGAAAGGCAGGACTGGCAGACAGAGAAAAGAAATAGAAGGAATCTTGGCTGGGGAGAAGCAGACAGAGACAGTAGGGGTCAGACAGATGACAGACAGATAGGCATTGAAATAGTAGGAAAATAATACATACGAAAGTAAATGAAGGTCAAAAGCCCTGAGGTAAAACATAGATAAAGGGATTATTTAAGTTCGAAAAGCTGGCTAGAAATTAGCTAAGCTAAGCCCAGGCATTCATAAGTAAGAATAAGTCTGAAGTCTTGATTTGGGAGCTGGCTGGGAGGCAGACCAAAAGAAGAAGCCTGCTACACTAGACAACTCTAACCTATATGCAGAGTGCCTGGGTCAGTCACATGAAGGTTCCCTGGCTGTCAGATGAGTCTCTGAGAGTTCAGTCTCTGAGAGTTTCCCACTCCCTACACTGAAAGTCTTACCTGGTCATATGAGGTGGCCTCTACAGGCTAGTTATCCTCTGTTGCTAGGAGTATTAGGTGGGCTCATCCTTGTACATTCCTGGGAGATTCCCTTGTTTGAGGTTTATAACTGATCCCCAAATAGTCCCCACTATCCAGTAGTCTATTACTCTCTTTCACTACTCTCCCTGTCACTCACCCACCTGGTCCTTCATGTTCCCAACCCCACCCTGCCACAGTCCACTCAAAAACTGTCTTCTACTTCCCCTTCCCAGGATGATCCAGCTCCCTTCCCCCTTGAAATTTTGTTAGTTTCTCTGGGTCTGTGGATTAGTGTAGTTATGCTTTATTTTACATCTAATATCCAATTATAAATGAGTACATAACCATGTTTGCTTTCTAAGTCTGGGTTACCTCACTCAGGTTGATTTTTTTTTTTTAGTTCCTTGCATTTGCCTTCAAATTTGCTGGCTATTTTGTTATTAAAAATTGAGTAATACTACACTGTGCAATGGTACCACATTTTCTGTATTCCTTCCTTGGTTGAGAGACATCTAGGTAATTTTCAGGCTCTGGCTACTGTAAATAAACCTACTATGAATATAGTTGAGCAAATGTCCTCGTGGAATAACTGAGCACCCTTTGAGTTTTATGCCCAAATGTAGTGCAGTTGGATCTTGTAGTAGATTGATTCTGGGATTTCTGAGAAACCACCACACTGATTTCCAAAGTGGCTGTACAAGTTTTCCCTCCCACCAGCAATTGGGGAGTCTTCCCCTTGATCCACATCCTCTCCAGAATGAGCTTTACCTTGTGGTTTTGATCTTAGCCATTTTGACAGGTGTAAGGTGGAATCTGAGTCCTTTTGATTTGCCATTCCCTGATGGCTAAGGATGATGAACATCTCCTTAAGCATTTTTCTTACATTTGAGATTCTTCTGTTGAGAATTCTTTGTTTAGATCCCAAATTATAATTGGAATATTTGTTTTACTGATACCTAAATTCTAGAGTTCTTCATATATTTTGGGATTCAGGCCTCTGTGGGATGTAGGATTAGTGAAGATCTTTACATTTTCTGCAGGCTACCCTTTTGCCCAATTGATAGTTTCCTTTGTCTTATCTTTTTCAGTTTCATGAGGTCCCATTTATTAATTATTAATCTTAGTGCCTATACCATTTTTGTTCTTTTGAGGATTTTGTCTTCTTTGAGGATACATTCAAGAATATTTCCTACTTTCTCTTCTATCAGGTTGAGTGTATCTGGATTTGTGTTGAGGTTTCTGATGCAGTTGGATGTGAATTTTGTACTGAGTGATAGATACGGGTCTATCTGTATTCTCCTCCATGCCAACATCCAATCAGACCTGCAACATTGGTTGAAGATGCTTTTTCTATTCCATTAAATAATTTGGGCTTCTTTGTCAAAATTCAGTTGTTCAATGGTGTGTCGATTTATTTCTGGGTCTGCCATTTGTTTCTATTAATCTACTTGGTCTTTTTGTTTTTGTTTTTGTTTTTGTTTGTTTGTTTGTTTTTATGCCAATACCATGCAGGTTTAATTACTTGTAGATCCTAGTAGAATTTGTAAGCAAAGATGGGACACCTCTGTCTTTTATTTCATGGGATTGTTTTAGCTATCCTGGGATTTTTGGTTTTTTTTATAAGAATTTGAGTATTGTTCTTTCGAGGCCTTTAAGAATTGTGTTGGATTTAAGATTTTGGAATCTTGAAATTTGCAGGAAAATGGATAGAATTCAAAGAATCCATTCTGAGCAGGGTAATCCAATCACAAAAAGACAAACATGATATGTCCGCACTCATATGTGGATTTCAGACATAGAGTAAGGGATTACCAGCCTACAATCCACACTGCCAGAGAAACTAATAAACAAGGAGGACCCTAAAAGAGACAAACTTTGTCTCCTGAAAGGGTCACAATCCCCTGAGCAAATTGAATACATGGGAAGAGGGGCAGGGAGCTATGAGATTGAGAAAGGAAGAAGAGGAAGGAGGCAGAGGTCATGAGGGAACAGAAAGGTTGAGTCAGGTGTAGGTTAGAAGAAAGGATATGTGATAGATAGGGTTTTAGTTAGGGGGGTGGTAGGGGAGGAAGGGAGGGAGAAGGCAACTGGGATTATCATGTAATTCAATCTTGTTTATAATTCAAATAAAAAAAGATAAAAAAGAATAATGACCATGAAACCAATTTAAAAAAAGAAAGAAATTTCACTTGAGGCCTGTAAAAAATAATTGTGTTGGGTTTTGATGGAGATTTCACTGAATCTACAGTTTGCATTCAGTAAGATTGCCATCTTTACTATGCAATTCTATTGCTCCATGAGCATAGGAGAGCTTTCCATCTTCTCATATCTTCTCAAATGTCTTCCTCAGAGACTTGAAGTTTCTGCCACACATGTTTTTCACTTACTTTGTGAGAATTACACCTCAGTATTTTATGTATTTGTGGCTATTGTAAAGGATGTTGATTCCCTGATTTCTTTTCAATCCATTTATCATTTGGATATAGGAGGGCCACTGATTTTATGAGTTAATCTTACATCCAGCCACTTGACAAAATGAAGCAGGGATAGGGCCCAGCTGCCTTGGTGGTGCTGGGATGGAAGAGGGAGGTACAAGAGATATGACTTGGAGGTTAGTTAGGGTTTGCACTCTGGGGCAGTCTGCCTGGGAAGTAGGTTGATCACTTGTTTTAACAACTTCTTTGGTTTGCAAATATGCTTATGAAGTCTGCTGAGGTAGGGGGAAGTCTGGGCATGGGAGGATGTTCTGGTGTGTGGGGTTGGATATCAGAGTGGGTCTTGGAAGGACAGAGTCCAGTGGATGGCATGGGTGGGTCACAGCCTGGTGGTAGGACCTACATGGAAGACACCAACCAACAATCTAAGCAACAGAGGAGAGGCTACCTTACATGCCCTCTCCTGATAATGAGATGATGATTAACTTATATGTCATACTACAGGTGATCTCTTTATTCCATTGTATAGCTTTAGCTTCTTTGACAAAAATCAGGTGTTTGTAGATGTTAGGGTTAATATCAGGGTTTTCAACTCTATTCCATTGGTCTACCTTTCTATTTTTGTGCCAAGACCAAGCTGTTTTCAGGACTATAGCTCTCTAATAGAGCTTGAAATCAGGGATGGTGATGCCTCTGGAAGTGCCCCCCCCCCCCCGTACAGGTTTGTTTTGGCTATCCTGGGTCTTTTGTTTCTCCATATAAAGTTGAGAATTGTTCTTTCAAGGTCTGTGAAGAATTGTGCTCAGATTTTGAAGGGGAATTAATTGAGTCTTTAGATTGTTTTCAGCAAGATTGCCGTTTTTATTATGTTGATCCTACCTATCCAAGAACTTGGGAGATCCTTCCATTTTCTGGTATCTTCTTTAATTTCTTTCTTTAAAGACACAAAATTCTTATCACACAGGTCTTTCACTTTTCGTTAGTGTTACCACAAGGTATTTTATGTTGTTTGTGGCAATTGTAAAGGGTGATGTTTCTCTGATTTCTTTCTCAGCACATTTATCATCCATGTATAGTAGGGCTCCTGATTTTTTCGAGTAAATCTTGTATCTTGCCACTTTGCAGAAGGTGTTTATCAGCTGTAGGAGTTCCCTGGTAGAGTTTTTTCAGGTCACTTACGTAAACTACCATATCATCTGCAAACAGTGAAAGCTTAACTTCTTCCTTTCCAATTTGTATCCCCTTGATCTCCTTTTGTTGTCTTATTGCTCTAGCTAGAACTTCCAGGACCACATTGAAGAGATATGGAGAGAGTGGACAGTCTCATCTTGTTCCTGATTTTAGAGGAATAGTTTGAGTTTCTCTCCATTT